CTTAATTTTACTACTCGGTTATATAATCTTTGATGATTCAAAACATCTTATTCATCTTTGATTTATGCCATGAAGTATAAAGTCATAATAAATGAATTAGATATTGCAAATATTCACACTGTCAAATACAACAAAGTCCTGTGATTATACCTTTCCTAAAGTCTAAGTTATTTGCTGTGAAAACTCAAAAATTGGATGGGAGAGACTGTGTATGCATTTTTAGTTTCCAAGATATAATTTGAGAACGGACACTCATAAAGAGAATGTTGATTTTTTTTTTCTTCCTTTGGGGACAGTAATTTCAAGTTAATCAGGACCTTACCTGTATCCCAATGATACAACTTCCCTTTCTTTAAGTGTATTTGGTCACCAGCATTGTAGTTTAGTGTTCCACCATCCCATATGGAAGATTACAGACAGACTATTGGTTAACCTTATGTCCAGTCCTAGTCTCAAGAGTTGTAGTTTGGGAACAGGAATGGTTTCACTCTACCAAGCCATTATAGTGGCTCAAGGCCACTTACCTTTGCTGACCATAAGAAGAGATAGTGCTGGTGACCAGGGGCTGGGAATGCAGTCTGAATATAATCTTGATAGACTCCTCTCCATTTCAGAAAACAAACAAACAAAAAATGATTAGCAAACAGTCCATTTCCCTTTAAGGAAGTCCTTAGCTAATTTGGAGAAATTAACTTATTTCTCATATTTCCAATTTCTAGTTTGAAAAGCTCTTTTCTTAACCACCTGCACTTTTTCCCTTAAGAAATTCACTAATTTTTAAAAATTTTTTAAATATGGGCAATAGGAAAATATTTCCAAAGGAGCTAGCACTAGACATTATATGTTTCACCTCCCATCAACACTTCTCTGCCCCTTCTTGTTTCTGAAAAAGCAAGAAGTCAGAGATCTGTCAGAAAAGCAAGAGGGTACGATTGAAATTAGCCATATAAAAAGACACATACAGCTGGCCTGCCTAAGGTATAACGGCAATTACTTTGTGCTCTGTTCACTCCCTGGGGGCCCAGAAAAGGGACATATGAAGGAAATTCAGAAAAGAGCAATAAAATTGTAAGGATCTGTGAGGTTGATTTACAAGGCACGTTATGACAGCTAAGATCATGTGGCTTGGATGAACAACGACTGACTGAAGATATGATAAATGTGAGTTTACAGAGAATATAATGGCTGAGGAAAGGAGAGGGACTGTGTTGTCCTGAAGGTGATAACATCATGGTCACTACTCCTCTTACTTGTTCCGTTTTTAAATACGGAGGTTCCTGTGCTTTATATTTCAATTGTCCACTAAGAAGTCAGTTCCAGTATTTTCTAAAATCTTTAATAATAAAAAAGATAACACAACAGCAGTGGAAACAAGTTAACATTTTACCTTTACAGATTGAGGGAAGTTCTCTATACATGTTCTAGGTAGGAGTATTGATTGCTGAGTAATTATATAAACCAATCAAATCAGATAGGCATCTGAGAGAGAAAAGGCAGGCATGAGCCTGTGCTGTTATATCTGGAATGAATATATCGGGAAGAATGGAAGAAATGAAGAGTAAAAAAAATAAATGGACCAAAGTCCTTACAGCCCATAACCCTGTGGAGTCCCCATCTTGGTTGGCTCCAAGCCCAGCAATTCAGCAAGTGTTTCTAATAAAGTTTGCCCGACCCCCCCAGAGACCTCAGCTGCCATAGGCTTTGTTTTAAACAAGAAAAGGTCACTAGCCTCTAGCCTGTCCTTTAGTCAGTTAGTGTCATGAAAGACAGAGAGAAGTTTCATGACAGAAATAAATGGCTGAAAGGAAAAAAAAAAACAATTTAACCTCTGTTCCTGCTGAGGAACAAATAACCTCCAGTTTTTTTTCTTTTGTTTGCTTGGGGTTTTTTTGTTTGTTTGTTCATTTCATTTTCTTACCTCATCTTACACAGGGCAGTGACAAGTGACAAAACTTAAGCTGAAGCTTAAAGCACCTCAAAAGGTCAGAAACAGGCCATGTGTAGTGATACATACTTGTAATCTCTGCTACTCAGGAGGCAGAGGTAGGAAGATTATGGTCCAAGGCCCACTCAGGCAAAAGTGTAAGACACTATCTGAAAAAAAAAAATTAAAGCAAAAAGTGCTGGGGGGTATGGCCCAGGTGATAGAGTACCTTCCCAGAGAGCACAAAGCCCTGACTTCCAACCCCAGTACTGAACAAATAAAGAGAAGAAAAAAACAAAAGTCCAAAAACAACTGATCCCTTGCCTACCCCTGCGGTAGGTGTTGGAGATGTCACAGTGAACATGGCTCCCAGGCAGGAAAGGCAGGCAGACCCAGAAACAGACTCGTAATCATTAAGTGATGTAAAAGACAAGCAAGGTGCACCAAGTCTGCACAAGGATGCTATCTATTCCAGCATGGAGGATTTTAGAAATTTAGCATGACATAATCATTGCCAGATGGTCTCACCTTCAATTCATAATTGTTTTAACAAGGGGATCTTTATCCAGGAGTATTTAGCAGGTGATAGAATGAATATGTCTTGTTTTGCTTATCAAGCTTGCTTTTTTCTTAAGAAATAACCCTTCATTCCTAAGGAACCCCTCTTGCTCCCACTCCAATCTTGTGTTAGCTAATCCCCCAGCTTACCTTTCTTATCTCCACCGATGAGCCCAGGGTCAGCCACGGACTCCTTTTTCACAATTTTCTAAATTGGATCTAAGGGACAATCCTTCTGTGGTGATGAGGTCATAAAATGAGAAGTGATGACACAGAGAAGCAGTAAGGACAGATGGAGGATCCTGCAAGCCCTCCAGGCTTTGATCCTAGTGGCCTCTAAGGCATTGCTGCTCCCTTCCCTTTCAGTTGCTATGGAAAACATGCAAACATCCTTCTGATAAAGGTCTCTTTTAGCCAAAACTCATTCAAGCTTGGGTTCCCTCACTCCCTATCAAGAATCCTGAGTGACTTCTTAACATTTTAACCTTATCTTAAAGTTAGATCTTTCCTCTCATTCTCTCCCTTTCTGAGGAGAGTTCATCTAACCTCAATGCTACCTATTTCTCCTTGTTGGGTCTTGGTCTATTCATATTTTGAAAACTTGGCCAATCCTTTTGCCTTCCTACTAGCTGTGCTTCTAGTTGCACCCCATCTGGGTTTCCCAAAAATAATGGGGCATTTTTATCTTTATTTTTTATTAGTGAATATTAATTGTACAAAGGGGTTTCATTGCAATATTTCCATACATGTATATAATGTACTTTAATCATATTCACCCCCTCTGTTGCTCTTTCTTATCTCTTCTTCCCCAGCAAACCTTTTCCTTACAATTTGTAATGAATTTCATTATTCTGTTTTCCTCCATGCATATAATGTGCTTGAGTCTCCTTATCATAGTACATTAAAATGCTGTTTACCAGGAGCCATCACCAAGTGACTCAAGAGCAAGACCCAGGAATCTGTGATTTTAAAACACAAATATTCTTGTTGCTTCTAATGTACAGGCAAGTGGAGGAATCACTGGACCAAATGACACAGGGAAGCCCATCAACTTGATGAGCATAAGTATTTCCCAGTCAGGCATGCAAATTAACTATTCCATCTCCGGGTAAGCTTTGAGTACTTCCTCAAAGAAAACAGAGTTATTGGAGGCTTGGAAGGTCATCATAGCAATTCCGAGCTACAGAGAACTATCCCGAAGGGGCTAGAGGGGACTTCATCCTCTAGGGGCTTGTCAGGGACCAGTCTGGTCCTTTACACAAGCTGCCTTTGATTTCTTTCATGCTGGAGATAGATGATGTCGGGGCAATTTATTTCTTTTTAAAGTCTGAAGTTACATCACAGGCCTGAATAATTTTTCTTATAAACCGTCTTTCCAAAGCAACCATCCGCAAAAGGAGCTGAGCATAGCTTTCCCAGAGGCAAGAGTAAAGTTGAAGTAAAGAAAAATTGCTTTACATCCTTCAAGAAATGTCACCTTTGGAGCAGTAAAACTGCTCATTCTTTCTCAGGGGAGATGACAAGCATTTCACAGCAGCCATTTTTTTTTTAAGTGGATGCCAAGTAGGAGAGGTACCCGACTTTCTGAAGGATCGCCAAATCAAGCAAGCACCTCCCTCCCTCCTTCCCAGTTCGCTGAGATTTTGACATTGGCTGGGTGGAACCCACTTACACTTTCAAAGACTCTTTGGACTTTCAGATGTGCCGTTTTACAACACGTGAGAACAGCAGGTGTTTCGAGCTTTTTTCTACCAAGAAGAAAGTTTTTCTTTATTTGTATTTCATTATACTTTACTTTTATTCTACCAAACCTGTGGGACTTGGAATTTACGACTCAGTGAAACTTGGAATGATTAGCGTGAAAAGAATTTTGCCATTTGGCAACAATGTCTCCCACCCTAACAAAACGATTCTTTCCTTTCCTGTTTTATTTCCCACTTTTTCTTGTTCACCTCTCTCCTTTCTTCTCTCCCACTCGCCCCACCCGCTCAACACATTCAACTAGTGCCCTAAACGGTGACAAACTTGCATGTGCTTCCCTTATGACTAAACCGCTGGGCCTCTCGCCAATCCCCCACAGATGGCCCCAAACTTCAGGCATCCTGTTAAAAGGGCCCCACGTTTGTAGCCCTGGTTGGAACAGTTAGGGTGGAGGAGGGTGATGGGGAGTGGCGGTGTCTTCGTCCTGGGGGAAGGTGAAGCAACTTCCAGGAGGAAACGGGCGTTTCCTTCCCTAGCGCTCCAACGAGCCCTGGGTCTTGGCCTCGGGGCTCCACCCAGCCCCTCCCAGCGCTCTGGGAAAAGCCAGTCGCCACACACAGGCACACGCAGGCCCGGCGCCGCGCCCTAAGGAGAACAGCCTTGGGGCCAATTGCCATGGCAACCCCGCGGTTCCTTCCACTTCCCCACCCAGCCGATCCCCCCTCCTCCTGGCGCTGCAGCCAACCGGCTTGTGCGCGTCCCTGGAGCGCGCTATAAAACCTGTGCTGGTGTCGCTAGCTGCTTAGCCGGACCTGGGGCAAGGCGGGCAGTGCCAATCTGCAGCCTAGACAGTCTCGTTTTGTAAAAAGAACAAAGCCTTAGCATGCAGAGTGTGCAGAGCACGAGCCTCCTTCTGCACAAGCAGTGCCTTTGCCTGGTTTTCCTGTTCCTCCATCTCCTGGGTCAGGTAGGTGGCCTCACCCTGGTGTCTCTTCCCTCCTGACCAACCCCGGCGTGGTCTCCGGGCTCGCTCTGCCTTCGACAGTCCCTGCTAAGGGAGGTTCTCCTTCTGGTCTCGCCGCCTTTCCCTAGGTCTCCGCGAGTCAGCGCTGTCCTTCCCCGTGCCCCCGCCCGTGCCCCGCGACGCCTCCGACCTGCGCCCCCGGGGTGCGCGCCGTGCTGGACGGCTGCTCCTGCTGTCTGGTGTGCGCCCGCCAGCGCGGCGAGAGCTGCTCGGAACTGAAGCCGTGCGACCAGAGCAGCGGCCTCTACTGCGACCGCAGCGCGGACCCCAGCAACCAGACTGGCATCTGCATGGGTAATGCTGTACTCTCCGCCACCTGGCCTCTTCTCTCACACTAGCAGGAGCTCTTCCTTCTCTCCTCTGCTCTTCACCTCCTTCTCAAGAGGGTGATAAACTAATAATAATAATGATGATGAATAATAATGCAGTAAGGGACATTTATGGAGCACTTGCTGTATGCCAAGCATGATCTAAAGGCGCTTGCAGGTTTGGGGGGAGCCAGAAGCCAGAGAGGCAACCTGCGGATGGAGGTGAGATGCGTATCCATCACTTACTTCCCTAGAGAAGAATCTAAAAGGCAGTGAGCGAAGCAGAGTTAAGAACCAGTGAAATCACTTCCTTTGGACATTTCCAGGGAAATACTGGGGGTGATGGAAGATTGGCTTAGTCACAGGCTTACAGTTCCCCCAACTGCAGCCCTGCAGGCTTGTTTTCACACCTGTAATTGTCCTATTTGAGCCAAAGCAGCTGCTCATCTCTTGGGAGGGCAATAGAACCACTGTCTGGGCTGCAATAAAATAAAATGCAGGCAACAAGCCCATCCAGACTCATGAAATTTAATCAGTAGAGGATCAGTTTCTCAGGTGGAACACCACTGCAGTCCGAGGCTGTCCCTGCCTCTCTTGACTAGGAGAGCTTGAAATAACCTTTTATTTTTCCTCTAAGCTAGTGATGACTTACCCTGCTTCAATACCATGGAATCCTGATACCCTTTCCAATTTGACCAGTTAACCTATTTGGAGAATAGGAAATGCATTTTTTTTCCCTTTTACGCCTAAGCTACTGGAATAGAAGAATCTAAGGTAGTTCTTAGAAAATAACTTTACTACTGAGAACAACAGCCATGGAGCCTTGAGAGTGTGACTCCACAGTTATCCTTTCTTTTGTTTTATCTTATAAATGAAATCATTTGGGGATGGGGCATCTCAAAAGACAGTAGAGAATATTTTAGAAGCCATTAATCAGATTATTTCTGTTGCTAGTATCCAGAGTTTGCAGCATTTACATACCTCTTTCCTCATTCACAAGGACTAGCTGGAGGTAACAGGACTAGATTGTCTTAACAGTTTTTTCTTGCTCTGGGAGGTCTCCATGAGGACAGCAGAAACCAGATCACCTGAACTAGAAAGGAAATGACTCTGGAACATGTTGAAATCTTACACAGGATCTCCTGTGCATTGTTTTTCTCTCTCCTTTTCCCTCTAGTGCTAGAAGGAGACAACTGTGTGTTCGATGGGGTCATTTACCGCAGTGGAGAGAAGTTTGAGCCAAACTGCCAATATCACTGCACCTGCAGAGATGGGCAGATTGGCTGTGTGCCCCGCTGTCAGCTGGATGTGCTACTGCCTGGTCCTGACTGCCCAGCTCCACGAAAAGTGGCAGTGCCTGGAGAGTGCTGTGAAAAGTGGACCTGTGGCCCAAGTGAGAAAGGGACATTGGGAGGCCTTGCCCTTCCAGGTGAGAAACTCAGTGTACATAGGAGTGACCCAAGGTAAATGTAGGCTCAAAGCACATGAAGTCCTTTGGATTGTTTTGGTGGTACTGGGGTTTGAACTCTGGGTCCTGCACTTGCTAGACAAGGGCTCTACCACTTGAACCACACTTCCAACCCTTTTGGCTTTAGTTTGTTTCTCAGATAGGATCTTGCTTTTTGCCTGGTGTCAGCTCAGACCTTAGTTATCCTTCTTATGCATTCCAGGTAGCTGAGATTACAGGTGTGCACCAGGCAGGTTTTTTGGGGTTTTTTGCTTTTTGATGAGAAACTGACCTCCTTTTCTGACCATACTATTATGGATTTCAGTTTGCCCACTAATCTGAAACACATCATGTCCAAGCAAAATTATAGAAGTATACACACAATTTCTCCTAAAGACGGCCTAATTAGTCCTTCCCTTTCTATTTCATGGAAAAGCTTAAGGAGTGTTGGTATTAGTTCTTCTTTGAAGGTCTAATATAATTCAGCTGAGAATTCAGTTGCTTTTTTGTCTTATTTTTGTCTTACTGCATAACTGTTCTTTGTATTTTAGTCTTTCTGTCCATCCTGCTTGATCCTTATTAGTACTAAGCAGTAAGAGTAGAAATCCTCTTTCATTTTTAGATTCTGTATACTAGCTATGCTCTCTCAGATCCAGCCCCCTTACTAGTGAGTTCTACCCCTCACTAGACAGATGAAACAGAGAAATGTCAACTTTCTAAATGCTGTGGGGAAAGTCAAGTGACACCAGAACATTTGTGATTCTTTTTGATTATCTTACAAATTACATACTTTTCTGAGGAAAAAAAAATCTCAAGAGGCAATAGGAATTTAAAAGCCATTAATCAGTCTGATTATTTATATTGGCAGTATCTAGAGGTTTACAGTCTTTCTGTGGTCAGAAATTATCAGTCTTACTTTATAGATAGGAAAACTTCCATGAGAAGGAGAGATAGGCTCCAAGGCACATGAGTGTTGACACAGAAGTTTCTGTAGTCGGAATCTAAGAGTCTATATATCCTAGGTCCAAAACAGCCAGGTCTACTTCCAAAAAACAAAGTATTGCTTTCATCACTTGGCTTATTCTACTTACTCATTACAATTAAAATTTTTTTATCATGATCCTTTTTATGTATAGAATAACATATTGAAAACACTGCAACTATGGAACAATTGTTGATGCTATACTGTCCTATATACATAAAACTATTACACCTCTTAAAACAATTTATCTCAAGCTTCTTAAGGTCAGGTTGGGGGTCTTTCCAAAAAAGATTTCTTGAAGTCCTACATTGCACTACCTGTTAAGAGTTTATAAATAAATCCAGTTCTGTGTTCTGCGAACACGGGTGTTTATTAGCTACAGAATTAAATGAGATCCACTTTCTAATGCTAGCTGAAAGGACCATTTTTTGATCCCCACATTTTATAGCCTACAGACCAGAAGCGACCGTAGGAGTTGAAGTCTCTGACTCATTTGCTGGAATTATATCAACTCACTGTGTTAACGCTGAGTATAAGGCATGCAGATCAGAAGCTATGATTGGTTCCTGGTGACATCACAGGTCTTGCTACAGGTCTATATAAGTAAGTGTAATATCCACGTTGAGCTATTATATGGAACTTGTACAAACCTAGGGCTAAAATAAGACAGCCCCCAGAAATTCAAGATTTACATATCTCTACACTGAGACAATATCATGTAAGGTTTAATGGGACAACTCTGGAGCCAGACAGCCTGGCTTCAAATCCTGTCTTTCACCATGAACTAGCTGAGCATTCTTGAGCAATTTCTTTAACCTCTCAGCCTCAATTTCTTCCCCCATATAATGGGGCCATTGAAAGTATCTACCTCAAGGTTTTCATAAGGATTAAATAGAATGAATTTGCCAGGCATTGGGCATAAATTAAGTACTCTGTTAGCATTAGCTATCAGAGTACTTCAAAGTTCTACTTATTGGTAAAATAAGAGTTCCTCATAGTTGTATTAGTCATATGGCTGCTTAGCTATATGATTTTTTAAGGTGTACCCAAACTTTATGTTTATTCTACCAATCTAGAAAGAATTCCTAGAAATGCTTTTTTTTCCTTCTAAAATTAAATCCTAGAAGATCCATCTCCCCATACTTTGGAAACAATACTTGTAACATAGCCACACATGTTCAGCCACACACACAATTACACACACACACACAACCCCAGAAGGATGTCACTGGCTTCTGCCTTTCCTTGGCTGTTAACAAGAACATATGTTAAATATTAAAAACAAAAAAGGAAGAAACAAAAAGCCTTTCCATATTTTCAAAGACACAGTCACTTCTTTTGGGGGGTTGGGGGCAGTTTGGAATAGCATGCTGCTGCGTAGCCTAGGCTGGTCCCCAATGATCCTACTGCCCACATGCTGGGATTGCAGGAAAGCTCCAGCTTGCCCAGCCCCCACCTGTTCATTACATAAGGCCTTTCCATCTTATGCCTCTAGGATTTCTCTTTTTCTATTGTTTCACAAAATTTGTGTTCCTTTTTTATCACTTGCACCCCATTTGATATTGGAAGATATTATAGTTAAGATTTTTTTATACGATATATATTTCATGAAAGTTCTAGAAATTGTTTGGAATCTAGGCAAGTACTAGCATAGTAATTATTTCTTCCTTGTTTCTGAGATTCTTATACCTGAAATAGTATTCTTACATTACCCAGACCAACAGCAATGCTTGCAAATTTGTGGACTCCACTTCAGGTGTTTTTACTCCAAAACTCTGGATTGAATCCCAACAATCTGTGTTTTAACAAACTGTCTAGATTATTCTAGCACACAGTAGGGTTTGGATGCCACTGACTTGAGAGAATTCTGGTTATAATCACCCCATAAACTCTGCTCTGTGCCTGGATGAGAAGTATAGAACTGTGGCAAATCTATAGATTAAGAAATCTTAAGTTGGAATGAAACAATTCTTTGCTGAATTAGCAATATTGGGTTTCCTCATTATCCATTACTAATGGAATCTTGAACAAATTCTACACTTACTTCATCTTCATGAAAAAGAATCCTAAATTCCATTGTCTTAGAATTTGTCATCATATTCTAGAAAGAAAGGGTTTTGTGTCAGAAAAATTCAAATACTAGATGTTTCCTGATCACTGTAGCTCTTTGAGACTCCATTTCTTCAGAAAACTTGAACAATTGTTCCCTCTATAAATAATTGTTCCTGGTATGAATTAATGTTGTTAATATTTCTTAAATTAATATCTGGAAAGAATCTGAAACATTAATAGGCTTTCAATAATATCAGATTTATTACATTTTTCTTTACAACACCAAAGAGTGCATTTGGCTAAAAAGAAAAAAGTACCAACGTGTGTTATACTGATTTTAGAAACATAGAAATACTTTCATCTCCATGTTCCTGGCCTCAAAATCAAAAGATAGTTGTGAGCAGTTAGGCATTGTGTTCACATGCCAGGAGAAAGGAAAATTAATGCAGGAAGCAATGAAGAATTGTACCTGTCCAAAGGGCAAAGGTTCCTCCAGACTTCTCTGATTTATCTTATCATTGGCCAGAAATTTATCACAAAGTCTTTTCAAGCTCCTAGGAATTCTGGGGAAGCAACTATTTTTATTAACCATATTGCCCAAACAAGATTCATGTTCTGTTAGCAAAGAGGAAAGGTCAAGGGATACTGGGTAGACAATAAGCTGGTTATCCCATACTACTAAAATAGACTTTCAGAGGAATGGTAGCTATTTCATGCATCTCCCCCTTTCTTCTTTCTTAGAAAGGAAAAAAGTGTCTCCGCACCAAGAAATCCCTCAAAGCCATCCACCTGCAGTTCAAGAACTGCACAAGCCTACACACCTATAAGCCCAGGTTCTGTGGGGTCTGCAGTGATGGCCGGTGCTGCACCCCCCACAACACCAAAACCATCCAGGTGGAGTTCCAGTGCTCCCCAGAGCAAATTGTCAAGAAGCCAGTGATGGTCATTGGGACTTGCACCTGTCATACCAACTGTCCTCAGAACAATGAGGCCTTCCTGCAGGAGCTGGAGCTGAAGTCCAGCAGAGGGGAAATGTAAATGTGTCGCTCAAGAAGCACACCTACAGAGACAACTGCACCTGCTGCATGAACACCATCAAATGAACACAAGAAAAACAATGAAGAACCATTACTGTATTCTTGAGTCCTCTGTATTTTTCTGTGATCATATGAAGTCATTTATATTTGTCTTTTTTATTGAAAGATATTCCAATTATAAGTTTGGAATCAAGCTAAGCTCAGGATATGACTTAGGAATGACTTATGTTCCTGTGATGTTTATTACAAATGCAAGTATGTATAAATTTAAGACTCAGCTAGATGATTTGTTATGTAGAATGTACCACATTACACTCATTTTGTTGTGCACTAGTACAGTTCCAAGAAAATGTCACTATAAGGAATGACACAGTGAAATCTAGTATCATACTGAATGTGTTGTTATAAAAAATATTTCAGCATTTATTGAGATTTGACTTGAGGGTTCTCTATTGGGCTCCTTTTGGGGGGATAGGTCAACTCCTCACTTGCAAGTTCAAGATCAAAGGAAACATACAGGTCTTCAACACGAAGTCCAGAGACTATTCTATTTTGTTGAACATTAGGAAATATGCTGTGTCTATCATAATGAAATGTTTGTTAATTAAGTAGACTGGTGTCATGAACTTTCTCCATTTTAGAAAATTAACTCCTTTCCAAATAGAAAGAAGCTAAGCAGAAAATTCCCACTACAGAGATAACTGGGCGTCACAGCCCTTCTACAGTTGTATACTGGAGGCTGCTGAGGCTCACTAGTTTTGTAACTCAGCAGAAGCAGAGATCAGCAAGAATCCGCTTGAGTAAGTAAACTGAGTTAATTGAGGTCCAAAGCACTTGATTACAGCCTTTGATGACTTTCAAATGTGCTTTTAGTGGAGTTTTGCAAAAAAACAAAATCCACATGACTGTGGTGGTGAAAAACCACAGATTTTATAAGAGTATAAAATTATTTTGGACTTGCCCAAAATGTATCCTTGGGTCATAACTATGAAAACTCATGCACAAGATATATGTGTCAGGCTTACAAGTTAGGCTACAAAATTAAATCTATCCATTCCTCTGTGTCACCATATGTGCTTCACCTTTCTCCTTCAAAGTATTTATAAAAATATAAATTATACATTTTGTAAAATATTCATTTTAATTTCTCTACTTGTCAGACATGACTAAAAAAACATGATGCTATCAGTGTGTGACTCTGGTATTACTTTTGTGCTTACAAGTTTAGCATTGTTGTTCACTGAAAATAAAAATTTATGAATTGAATTGGGCATCAATAAGTAGCATCTGTTGAAAGCAAAATGGATATTTTGGGGTGAGCTCATAGTTTTATCAGAAGGGAAACAAAAGATAGCTCTTACTGTTCTAGATAATTTCCATCACCAAGGTTTAAATATTCTTCATGACATTTTCTCAAACTATCATCTCAAGCCTTGTTCTTTTTCCAAACAACCCACCAGACACCTCTCTATACTGAAATTTGAGTTTGTTCTCTGACAAAGAAAAACTCACCTCCCTGACTTCCTTTTCAAATTAAAGGACTCCCAAGTCCCCAGTTACCTGGGTGAAACCGTCAGCATTGTCTTGAACGGTCTGCTCTTGTCACATGGCCCCAAAAGCATACAATCACTCATCCATGTCCATTAGTTCATGGATTCAACCAACTAAGGATTAAAAATATTAGGAAAAGCAAAAGTCATATTGTGTACTGTGTAGTTAGGCCTACAGTGGGTACTGAACATGCAGACATTTTTCTTGTTATTATTCTCTAAATAATACAACAACTATTGTAAGTAATCTAGAGATGATTAAAGGTATAGAGGAGGATGTGCATAAGTTAAATGCAAATGCCACACTGCTCTATAGAATAAAATTGAGAGTGCATGGATTATAGTTTCCATAGAAGGTCCTGGAACAGATCTCCCGGGGATAGCCAGGGACAACCGTATTTCTCCAGCATGATGCAGAGCAGAATCATGACTGGGGCTGTCATCTGTTAAAATGAGTCTATGTTTTGAAGTTTCTGGTTGATACAAAGTGGATCTAAAGTTCTTCCATAATTAAAAAAAAAAAGCAGCCTTCCCATCCACCTTTATAGCTAGTTCCTATTTGTCTTTCAAAGCAAATTCCTTTTTCCACTATACTGAAAGCTACTGGGTGGGTCTATGCAAAGATTTTCTGTCTTTGGAACTGTGCCACACCAGGATAGCCATGATGAAAAGAATTTGGAAACACTTGAAGATACAATATAGAGTTGGCTAAAGCACTCTTTAAAATGAGTATGTAGGAAAAGGTGGTATAAGAAAATATACCTTCAAAAGGTATAAAACTACGGAAAGAGTCATTTGTTTTTGTTCAAAAGTATCTATGAGAGATGTCCGTGGTGCTCCATACCTGTAATCCCAGCACTAGGGAAGTAGAGGCAGAAGAGTTTTGAGTTGACAACCAGCCTGGACTACATAATCCAAGTACCCGTGAACATCAATCAAAGGAGACCTAGAAGAGATTAGGCAAAAAATATTAGTGATTATATCAAGTTGATCTGATAATGAATTTCCTTTTTGTGATTTCTTTTCCAACTTTCTTTAAAACTGAAGAAACATTATATTTACAGTCAGAAAAAAATAATGCTGATTTAAGATGTTCCTTCTTTCTGGTATATTTATAACCTGTGGGGAAAGGCAGGCAAAAAAATGAGTAAATATACAAAGAAGGTAATATATTCTGTGATCAAATCAGGGTGAGATAATTGAGGACTTGTAACTTAGTTTGAGGTAGTCAAAGAAGTTGTGTTTGAAAAGGTGACATTTCCTCTGAATAACAAAGGGAAAGGGATAGAACTTCCCAATCAGAGATAACAAATATTTCAGAAAAACATTTAGAAACTTGCAATGTTAAGGAAGATCCACTTGGCTGTGCTTGGTCAAGAATTGTTCAGGAAGGGAGTATGAGAGCTTGTCTTATTATCAAAGTCCTCGCTCCCTTTTATAACTGAGTTTTTTACACTCCCATTAAAAGCAGCTTGAGTCTTAGCAGCATCTTATTCTTATATCTGCCCAAGCCCCTGACACAGAGTAGGACCTCATTGCTTATCTGTTGAATGAAAGAATGAATGAATGAATGGTCTCTGCATTAACATAAGATGGAATGTTCTTTGAAATAATAAGCATTTAAACTTTCATTTTTCTTATCACTATTTCTCACTCTCCAACATAAACAAATACATGCATTCCTGAAATTATAATTAAAGGTTGAAAAAATATGATCTTATGTAGGAATATCTGCCCAGTTCAGAACATTCTAGTAATACAATACGGGAACCAACACTGGACCGACTAGAGTTTAGGAATGCAGAATGCAGAGGCTTAAAAGTTTAGATTTGAATTCCAGACTTATTATTTCCTAGCCATGAGATAGTGAAAAGTTGGCAAAGTCTCTGAGTCTCAGTTTTCACCCTTGTAAGACAAAGCCATGTATTTATGGAGTGGCCAACTGCTACAGTTTGTCCTCAACTGAGATGGTCCTGGGGACTCAAGACTTTCAGTTATAAAATCAGGACAGTCCCAGGCAAACCAGGATGAGTTGGTCACCATCAATACTAACTGCACAGTGTTATGATATGTGTTCATCAGCTCCTGATTGTGCCAGGCACACAGGAAGCCTGCAAATGACAGCTGTTAATACAGTTAGTATTCAAAAGAACCAAACACTGACTCTTATTCTGTGTAGTTAACATACCAAGGTAGTTATTATTGACCACATTTTTACAGGGAAAGAAAAAGGCTAAAAGAAGTCAATGGCCTATTAAGGACAAATGAAGTAGCTAAGATTCAAACTCAGGGTCTGACTAAGTGCAGAGCCAGAGCTTTTTCCTTTTCACAGTGCCACAGCCACTGAGGCCAAGTGTATTTTCAGCAACCAAAACAATTCCAAGAGTTCTCATTTCTACACTATTTTCCCAAACTATAAATGTTCCCTTTTAGAAACAGCATTGCAAAGTAGTGAGACTGTTGGGATCATTCTGTGAATGTGAAATTTTGAAAGCATTTAATGCTGGTGCAGTGATAAGGCACATTTCATTGAAAATTGTCATCAAAAAATATTTGAGGTTTTTTCTGTTCTTTTTCCACACGACGACTCAACTAAGCAATGAGGCAAGGATATATTTGACTATACAAGAAGACATTTTGTCATACACATTTCTATACTTGGTAAGATTGTCAGTATAGTTTTTGATAAGAGATTTCTGGGCCGTGGACATTCTCACTGAATGTCTTCCTGGTAGGTTCATGTTCTCATGCTTCTGAATTGGTTTCACTCCAAAATGCTCAATATCATAAGTCAAATCATCAAAACAGTATGTCCTTTTGGCTTTGTGCTATCGAGCTTAGTTTGAAGATCCATTGTTGTTGGAAATGTATTCATCTTAGCCATATCACATGATTCATGCAGGCATTGCTATGCTGGCTTGACCACAGAGGGTTCACAAAATTCAATTACCACTTCAATAACACCGCTGGCATTTGCTGAACTCTGAATAATGAAGAAGTCTCTGCAGCCTTCCAGCTGGGGACTGTAAATTACTGTTACATTAAGCCAGCTGTTCCAGGGATCATTAGGACATGAAGAGGGTAAGCGTGGCAATGTTGTACCAGTCTTCCTAAAGGATGTGTGTCTTCCTCCTTAGGACAAGAAAATGAAGGTGTGAAGTTGAGCCCAGGGAATTCTACAAAAGAACGTACAGTTGCATCCTAATGGCAGAAGGATCAGTCCCCTAGTTCCACTGGAAGGAGCCTGGAAATAAATATTTTATAATCCAGGAAGAAGATGTTGCTTGGACTTATATTTTATTTGTTAAGTCTGAGAAGCAGGTTCTGCTAGTGCCGTAAATTCAGAAGTTTGGCAGAGGTTCCAAAGTTCTTAGCTTGGGTTAAATGCAGGTCAATATGCCCAACCTGACCTAGATTTGCCCTGATTAAGCAAGACCACCCACAAGATCCTTGGGAGACCTGTTCTAGCTCTTCTAAAGGTGAGCAGTGCAAATCTTCTCTGATGATTTGTACAGCATCACAGACCCCAGAAAAAGGGATAAAAACTACAAAGTCTCCCCAAATTCTGTACCATGGTTCGTTAAACTACTTGCAGTTCATCTTCTCTAAGAAGACTTCTTGGCCAGCACCCTTTTGCCCCTAACTGAACTGACCGCTCTTTCCTTTGTGTTCAATGTATCTTAAAGCAAATACTATCATATGGCCTAAAATGCCACATCTCTGTTATTTGCTTCCACATTTCCCACTGGACTCTACTCCATGATGCAAGGACTATGTTTGGTTTCCTCACCGCTGTTTCACAGTCTTTCTCAAACTTTTCCAGAGTTATTTTTCTTTTTAAAAAACTAATTTCTATTAACATGTATTACATTCCTTCAGGTATATGCCCAGGAATGGTATAGCAGGGTCTTTCAGTTCTTCGAGGAATCTCCATCCTGATTTCCAAGATAGCTGCAGGAATTTACATTCCCACCAACAGTGACTGAGGGTTCCTACTTTCCAGCATCCTCACCAGCATTTTTTCAAACAGCTGAACATCAGTGAACATTTGCCATCTGAAGATGCAGGGGCAGAAACCCAACAATTCAGGCCACAGTTTATGTGTCCTATCACATTTTCTCTTAAAAATTCAAAGTTTCATTGTTCCTTGATGTACCCATGTTTGTTTAAATACAAAAATAGCATGTAAAAATTCTTACTGGTTGGATTGTGCAACCTTTCCTGCCCAAATCTTCAAGTAAAATTGATGCTGTAGAAAAATTCACCATGTTTACACTAAAGCCTCTTGCAACTTTTTTCGTACTTACAAGGTCAAGTTAGCACTAATAATAGCAATAACTCCAAATTTTACCTCACTGTAGGTGGTATTGATTGTAAGGTATACTATACCCTCTGTATCAAAAAATTAATTTTAAAATTTTGTCAATGGACCTAGGACACACCATCACTTATAAGACTCATGTCTCTTATGCAGAAAAGTTGTCAATGTTTATTTCAGAATATAGAATTTAGAATTAAAATGAAAAAGGAGGAAGCAAAAAAAGAGAGAAACCAACATGCTTCAAGCTTATTAGGTACCAGGCTCTATGCAAACTGCCTTACATAGATTACTTTAGTCCTTCAAAAAATCCTATCAGGTCAGGTTACTACTATTTTCTGTAAAAATTACAGAAGAGGAAAGTTATATA